GGGACACCAAGAATTCCCAAAGATCCCTGGAGACCCCCTGGGACCCCCAGAGATCCCAAATTCCCCTGGAGACCCCTTGGAGATCCCCAAACCTCCCCCAGGAGACCCCACGGACGTGAAGAACCTCCCAGAGAACCTCCCGGAGACCCCAAAATCCCCCAAAAAACCGGGACTGGGGAGGGCCCTGAGAATTCCCAAAGATCCCTGGAGACCCCCAGGACCCCCAAATTCCCCAGGAGACTCCCAAACTTCCCTTGGAGACCCCCCAGGAGACCCTCAAACCTCCCCCAGGAGACCCCACGGACGTGGAGAACCTCCTGGAGAACCTCAAGAGATCCCGAAATCCTGGGAAAACTGGGAATGAGGGGACACATCAAACATTCCCAAAGATCCCTGGAGACCCCCAGGACCCCCAAATTCCCCGGGAGACTCCCAAACTTCCCTTGGAGACCCCCCAAATACCCCCCCAGGAGCCCTCACGGACATGGAGAACCTCCCGGAGACCCCAAAATCCCCCCAAATCCAGGCCTGGGGGGGACACCAAGAATTCCCAAAGATCCCTGGAGACCCCCAGGACCCCCAAATTCCCCGGGAGACCCCTTGGAAAACCCCTGGAGACTCCCAAACCTCCCCCAGGAGACCCCAAGGACATGGAGAACCTCCCGGAGAACCTCCCGGAGACCCCAAAATCCCCCAAAAAACCAGGACTGGGGAGGGCCCTGAGAATTCCCAAAGCTCCCTGGAGACCCCCAGGGACCCCCAGAGATCCCAAATTCCCCTGGAGACCCCTTGGAGATGCCCAAAGACCCCCCAGGAGCCCTCATGGACATGGAGAACCTTCTGGAGAACCTCCCGGAGACCCCAAAATCCCCCCAAATCCGGGCCTGGGGGGGACCCCGAGAATTCCCAAAGATCCCTGGAGACCCCCAGGACCCCCAAATTCCCTGGGAGACCCCTTGGAAAACCCCTGGAGACTCCGAAACCTGCCCCAGGAGACCCCACGGACGTGGAAAAACCTCCTGGAGAACCTCAAGAGATCCCGAAATCCCGGGAAAACCGGGAATGGGGGGGACACCAAGAATTCCCAAAGATCCCTGGAGACCCCCAGGGATCCCCAGAGATCCCAAATTCCCCGGGAGACCCCTTGGAGATCCCCAAAGACCCCCCAGGAGACCCCACAGACGTGAAGAACCTTCTGGAGAACCTCCCGGAGACCCCGAAATCCCCCCAAAACCGGGACTGGGGGGGGTCCCGAGAATTCCCAAAGATCCCTGGAGACCCCCAGAACCCCCAAATTCCCCGGGAGACTCCTTGGAAAACCCCTGGAGACCCCCAGAGACCCCCTGGAGACCCCACGGACATGGAGAACCTCCCGGAGAACCTCCCGGAGACCCCAAAGTCCCCCAAAAAACCGGGACTGGGGAGGGCCCCGAGAATTCCCAAAGATCCCTGGAGACCCCCAGGACCCCCAAATTCCCCGGGAGACTCCCAAACTTCCCTTGGAGACCCCCCAAATACCCCCCCAGGAGACCCCACGGACGCGGAGAAACCTCCCAGAGACCCCAAAATCCCAGGAAAACCAGGACTGGGGAGGGCCCCGAGAATTCCCAAAGATCCCTGGAGACCCCCTGGGACCCCCAGAGATCCCAAAGATCCCCCTGGAGACCCCCAGAGACCCCCTGGAGTGGCCCAAAAACCCCCCCCAGGAGACCCCACGGACGTGAAGAACCTCCCAGAGACCCCAAAATCCTGGGAAAACCGGGACTGGGGAGGGCCCCAAGAATTCCCAAATTCTTGGAGAATCCTTGGAGACCCCAGAGAATCTTTGGAGACCCCCAGAGATCCCAAAGATCCCCCCAAGAGACTCCCAAACCTCCCCCAGGAGACCCCACGGACGTGGAGAACCTCCCGGAGAACCTCCCGGAGACCCCAAAATCCCAGGAAATCCGGGACTGGGGGGGACACCAAGAATTCCCAAAGATCCCTGGAGAATCCCAGGGACCCCCAGAGATCCCAAATTCCCCTGGAGACCCCTTGGAGATCCCCAAAGACCCCCCAGGAGCCCTCATGGACATGGAGAACCTCCCGGAGAACCTCCCGGAGACCCCAAAATCCCCCCAAATCCGGGCCTGGGGGGGCCCCCGAGAATTCCCAAAGCCCCCTGGAGCCCTTCCCGGCATTCCCGGCATTCCCAGACCTTGGAGTAGTGCTTGAAGACGTCGGAGGCGCGGCGCAGCTCCAGCCCCCCGTGCAGCAGCACTTTGCAGAACCCGGCCAGGAGCTGCCGGCGCCGGTGCAGCTCCTCCAGCCGGCCCTCGGCCTCCTCTGGGAACGGGAATGAACGGGAATTCTGGGAATTCTGGGAGTGCCGGGGCCTCGGGAGAACCCCGGGACCACCAGGAGAGTCCAAGGGATCTCCTGGAGATCCCAAAAACCTCCTGGAGACCCCAAAAACCTCCTGGAAAACCCTCTGGAGACCCCCAGGACCACCTGGAGAGTCCAAGGGATCTCCTGGAGAACCCCAGAACCTCCTGGAAACCCCCAAAAACCTCCTGGATAATCCAAGGGAGCTCCTTGAGCCGGCCCTCGGCCTCCTCTGGGAACGGGAATGAACGGGAATTCTGGGAATTCTGGGAATGCCGGGGCCTCAGGAGAACCCCAGGATCACCTGGAGAGTCCAAGGGACCTCCCAGAACCTCCTGGAGACCCCCAGAACCTCCTGGATAATCCAAGGGAGCTCCTGGATCCGACCCTTGGTCTCCTCTGGAAGAGGGGAATTAATGGGAATTCTGGGAATTCTGGGAATGCCGGGGCTTCGGGAGAACCCCAGGACCACTGGGAAAATCCAAGGGATCTCCTGGAGATCCCAAAAACCTCCTGGAGACCCCAAAAACCTCCTGGAAAACCCTCTGGAGACCCCCAGGACCGCCTGGATAATCCAAGGGAGCTCCTGGATCCGGCCCTCGGCCTCCTCTGGGAACGGGGAATGAACGGGAATTCTGGGAATTCTGGGAGTGCCGGGGCCTCGGGAGAACCCCAGGACCACCTGGAGAGTCCAAGGGATCTCCTGGAGAACCCCAGAACCTCCTGGAAAACCCTCTGGAGACCTCCAGGACCACCTGGATAATCCAAGGGAGCTCCTTGAGCCGGCCCTCGGCCTCCTCTGGGAACGGGAATGAACGGGAATTCTGGGAATTCTGGGAGTGCCGGGGCCTCGGGAGAACACCAGGATCACCTGGAGAGTCCAAGGGATCCCCCAGAACCTCCTGGAGACCCCAAAAACCTCCTGGATAATCCAAGGGAGCTCCTGGAGCCGACCCTTGGTCTACTCTGGAAGAGGGGAATTAATGGGAATTCTGGGAATTCTGGGAATGCCGGGGCTTCGGGAGAACCCCAGGATCACCGGGAGAGTCCAAGGGATCTCTTGGAGAACCCCAGAACCTCCTGGAAAACCCTCTGGAGACCCCCAGGACCTCCTGGATAATCCAAGGGATCTCCTGGATCCGGCCCTCGGCCTCCTCTGGGAACAGGAATTCATGGGAATTCTGGGAATGCCGGGGCCTCGGGAGAACCCCAGGATCACCAGGATAGTCCAAGGGATCTCCTGGAGAACCCCAGAACCTCCTGGAAAAACCTCTGGAGACTCCCAAGACCCCAAAAAACCGCCTGGAGATCCCCAAAAACCNCTCCTGGAAAACCCTCTGGAAAACCCCAGGACATCCTGGAAAATCCAAGGGAGCTCCTGGAGAACCACAGAACCTCCTGGAAAACCCTCTGGAGACCTCCAGGACCGCCTGGAAAATCCAAGGGAGCTCCTGGATCCGGCCCTCGGCCTCCTCTGGAAGAGGGGAATTAATGGGAATTCTGGGAATTCTGGGAATGCCGGGGCTTTGGGAGAACCCCAGGACCGCCTGGATAGTCCAAGGGATCTCCTGGAGATCCCAAAAACCTCCTGGAAAACCCCAAAACCTCCTGGAAAACCCTCTGGAGACCTCCAGGACCGCCTGGAAAATCCAAAGGAGCTCCTGGATCCGGCCCTCGGCCTCCTCTGGGAACGGGAATGAATGGGAATTCTGGGAATTCTGGGAGTGCCGGGGCCTCGGGAGAACACCAGGATCACCTGGAGAGTCCAAGGGATCTCCTGGAGAACCCCAAAACCTCCTGGAAAACCCCAAAACCTCCTGGAAAATCCAAGGGAGCTCCTGGATCTGGCCCTCGGCCTCCTCTGGGAACGGGGAATGAACGGGAATTCTGGGAATTCTGGGAGTGCCGGGGCCTCGGGAGAACCCCAGGACCACCGGGAGAGTCCAAGGGATCTCTTGGAGACCCCCAGAACCTCCTGGAAAACCCTCTGGAGACCCCCAGGACCGCCTGGAAAATCCAAGGGAGCTCCTGGAGACCCCCAAGAACCTCCTGGAAAACTCTCTGGGATCGAAGAGTCATGGAATTCATGGAATCAGAAAATCATGGAATCAGAAAATCATGGAATCAGAGAGTCATGGAATGAGGGGATCAAGGAGTCAAAGAGCCATGGAATGATGGGATCAAGGAGTCACAAATTCATGGGATCAGGAAATCCTGGAATTCCCAGAGCTAAGGGATCAGGAAATCCTGGAATGATGGGATCGAGGAACCACGAATTCCCAGGATCAGGAAATCCTGGAATCCCGGAGCCCCGGGCTCAGGAAATCCTGGAATGATGGGATCAAGGAATCACGAATCCATGGAATCAAAGAGTCATGGAATCAGGAAATCCTGGAATGATGGGATCAAGGAGTCACAAATTCATGGGATCGGGAAATCCTGGAATGATGGGATCATGGAATGATGGGATCATGGAATGATGGGATCAAGGAGTCAAAGAGTCATGGAATTGGGAAATCCTGGAATGATGGGATCATGGAATGATGGGATC